GAACATATGTTCTCCAGAGCCAGCCCATCCCGTCCCCCCCACACTGGATAATCCTGATGTTCCCCAGATCCCCGGCGGGGGACTGGGAGGGATAAACGCCCAATGCCTGAGCCAAGGTCTACCCACATCTGAAACATAATAAAGTTGCGGCCAATTTTAATCCCATAGCACATTGTCTTGAGTTGTTATTCCACACGGGGGGCACCCAGGGTTTGGGGGACTCCGCCTGTCCACGCAATACTTATAAAGTGCTGAATAGCGCAAGTATTTTATTAGAGAAGTCAAAATCTTCCACAGGAAGGGAGACACTCCCAAACTGCTGCAAGGCCAAGTGCTCCCGGCAAAGCTGCACACCATCTCATCTAAGCACCTTTGAGATTATGTCTCACTCTGACTGGGAAAACTGGCATGAGCCCCTTGCAATGTGAGTTAAAAGGACCCTGCCAATGCCTCTGAGATAGGGTGGCCAGATGCAGAGGGAAACATGACAAGTTATACATGCTGAAACCACCTCTTCTGCAGAACTATTAAAGGTAAAAGAGCCTTTTTGCCATCTTCTTATTTTGTACCAGGTAGGATTCCTGTTGGGTTAGAAACAGGAGAATGAGCTGGGTGAAGCCCATGAGGCATCATTTGTCCTTCCCTATGTCAGATAAAAATCAGAGACATCACCTTGCCAACAAGGGTCCATATAGTTAACACTGTGGTTTTCCCAGTAGTGATGTATGGAAGTGAGAGCTGGACCATAAAGAAGGCTGATCGCCGAAGAATTGATGCTTTAGAATTATGGTGCTGGGGGAGACTCTGGAGAGTCCCATGGACTGCAAGAAGATCAAACCTATCCATTCTGAAGGAAATCAGCCCTGAGTACTCACTGGAAGGACAGATCGTGAAGCTGAGACTCCAATACTTTGGCCACCTCATGAGAAGAGAAGACTCCCTGGAAAAGACTCTGATGTTGGGAAAGATGGAGGGCACAAGGAGAAGGGGACAACAGAGGATGAGATGGTTGGATAGTGTTCTCGAAGCTACCAACTTGAGTTTGACCAAACTGCGGGAGGCAGTGGAAGACAGGAGTGCCTGGCGTGCTCTGGTCCATGGGGTCACGAAGAGTCGGGCGCAACTAAACAACTGAACAACAACATGTCAGATAAGCGCAGGTATCATTTGTGCCTTACAGAAAATGCCCTTGCTTGTGTAGAGTTTGATACTGTGACTTTCCTGTCTCCCTCTTCCCCTAAACATTATCTAGTCCTCCAGGCATCCATCACGGGTCTTTGCTGAATAAATGACAGCTCCTGGCATTTCAAATCCTCTGCCAAAATAAGCCAGTAGAAATGAATACTGTTTGAATGAGACAAGTGCTTTGAGGGTGGGAGCCAAAAATGGTTGTCTCTTCTTTTTTT